GGTAATGGTAATTGTACACATCTATATATATTTAACTATAAAGTTGTCTCACAATCAGGATTGAGCTAATTTCTAATCATCTAACATAAAGAATTGTGTCTGTCCTAACCCAGATCATCCAACAAGTAATGATTGCTTTAATGTTAACGTGTGCTGTTGTGATTCATTTTAGTTTCTACTGGTTTTATTCACACATTTTTAATAAACAAATCAAATAACACCATGAATCATACTTCCTGTTTATCAGATGTCATGCTCTGCTCTCATGATATTGTGGCCAGGAGGGCAAGTGTCTCAGAGCTCCCAGCTGAGTCAGGTTGACATTAAGTAGTTGTCGTTGGTGTTAGAGAAGGAATTGACTTGTGTTAAATCAAGATTAGCTGTGTCATTGCATCAGGGAATGCCAATGACAAATATGCTAATGTATTGGCAAAGAAGCAACTACAACAGCGCCAGCAGTTTTTACAAAAATTAAACCAGGCACATTTACTAACATTGGCAATATTTAGATCAAACTGAGATAAATAATTTACTCTTACGCACACCTTTTATCACTCCAAGTCAATCATTTTCTCAAGTGCTCCATGCTTTCATGCAAAATCAATAGAATAGATTTCCAACTACCTCATTTCCCTACTTCCCATCGTGCTCTAGAGGATTACAGTAAAGTGATTTAAAATGTAATTGTAAATGTGAAGAATTCATAATGTATAAGGTGGATGGAAATACCTTATACCCAGATGAAGTTATGCTTAGGAATGTATCAGTACATATTCCTCCTCATAAGCTCTGTCTTTGGTGGTTTTCATGTATCCAATAAAAATGTCTCTTTGAATTGGATTGCGGTCCTCTTACTTTTCCTCTAGTGCCACAATGAGGTTGACATTTGTGGTTTTGAGTGAACATTTTTAACCATTATTGGATGGAGAGCAAGTAATTGGAAGCTTGTTAGCAAAGATGTGCCAGTACTGAGCTTCCAAACTCGAAAAATGTATGTTTATTCGCATTTCACATGATCTATATTTAAAGATTTATGTCCATTTTGCTTTTAGTTCACAGTAAATGATCCTTATGATACAAACTTATATCAAAAAGTATTTCCTTTAGGAGCGTCCTTGCAGCTGAATGGTTACAGTACATTGCCAAATAATGGCAATGTCACCTGTTTGGTTCACTGACTTTTTCTCGTCTATCTCTCCCTTCCTTTCCAGTCTGCTTTCACAAATATATAATCAAATAAAGGTAACCAGACAGATGCCGCAAAAAAATACCAATTGGCTGAGTAACATCAAGCCATTACTGTTTCCCCGGAGGATCCGCTTCCCATTCATGTCTTGCATTTTTGTATTATATCTAATACATGTCTCTTTATTGTTAGCCTTCTCATTTTTCTCCATTAACCTACCTAACCGCAACATTGTTCGAATGCCATATCCCATAATGCCTTTTATAGTTCCAGTACTTCATCGGTAAGAGCATTATTGCAGCGTAGGTGGAGCAGTTACAGATTGTTTGACCTGTCTAAATACCTGCTTCCCCTCAGTTTTCAGCATGAATGCACATTTGATAAAAGCATCTCTTTGCAGCGTACCACTGTAAATGGAAGAATAATCTCCTCTAGTCCCGGATCTGCATCTCAGTCTCGTGGGTAGATATAGAGATTCAAAAGGCTGTGCAGACGCAGGGGCTTTTTTACTTTTTTTGCTCATACACTCTTTCTCCTATTCATACAGCATTCGAGTGTGTGTTAGAAAAAAAGAGAGTTGTCATGCAGCGTCTCAGAGCAGGGATTGGTTTGATCCTCCTCCGTGTTTCGCAGATAAAAGTCTATGAGTCACTGACTGGGATCTTTTAATGATCGCACCCGCTCTACCTTTTTCAACCTCCTTGTCTTTTCTATCAATAATAGCATGTGCTCTGAATCTTCCTGCTCTTACCATATAAGCTGTAAATTGACAACATTATTAACCGGTGACAGCTGGCAGCTGCAGGGCCTAAATGGGAAAAGACGCACATAAAAAGCCTGACCTGGAATCGTTCTCTGTGACACTCACAGTAAAATCATTTAAAGGTTTAGAATGTTTATCCATCAAACATCCTGCGCTGCTCTTTGAGCTATGCTTACTGAGTTCTTGCACTTCATCAATTAGCTCCCAATGCATTGCTTCTGACGTTTCCCCTTTCCAAACCCAAACACAGGAGAGGGAGGCAATGGAAAATAGTACTGATCCAGTAGATTTGGTTGCTGAGGGACGTCAAAGAGGGTCTGAGCTTCCTGTCCTAGTTAGGCATGGCTTGAGTGTGAGGTGGAGTCTAAGCAGTGAATTATTCAGTGCAGCTTCCTTTAGGCATGCTCACTCTCAACGGCTTTGCAGAGCCTCTGCAGACTCATATGTAGGTCTTCAAAGACAATGATGCAGGGTCACAGGGACAGCATGTTTGCAGATCAATACTGAGCAGTTTAATTTGCACTACTGACAGTGATCTGCTGTCCCCTAATTGATTTTCTGTTTGAGTATAGTGGCTAGTTACTCAAGAGTAAAAAAGAGGTGACACACAGAATTACAAAACAACCACATACAGAAAGGATATCAGGCATCATTTCTGCTGACTAGCTCCCACCACAAAGTGAGTTGGACAGCTCTTAGTTTAACAGTGTGATGAAACTCGGTGTGAAGCTTTCAATTGTCACTTTAGGTTTCAAAACCAATTTCTTATGTTTAGAAATACCTAACAGGCAACAGTTTAGAGACAATGAAAGAATGTATTCAGAATCTCAGGAATTAGGCTGAAAATGTTTTCAACTTCAATACTTGCCACAATTTGAACTGTGATAACTTTGGTGAAGTCAAAGACAGAACATGTAAAGGCCAGGGTGATGTGAAACTGAAAGCTTTCAGGACTGACCCAGGTCAGTCAGTCACCTAGGATTCAAGTCTCGATCACTTAACTAACCAAAGCTGACAGGAAACTCTGAACAGTTGACGTCTTAATGTTGAGTCTGTTCCTGGAGTAGTAAAGGACATCTCTTATATAGTGAATTAAAGCAACATTATTTCTTTATTTTATTTAACCTTTATTGAACCAGGTCCCATAAAAATCTCTTTTAAAAGGGAGACCGGGCAAACGGAACAATGAGTTTTACATATTTGACAGCACAGATTAACCATTATCAAATATAAAATCTGCCCAGAGACACGCTTGACTCAATAGATTTCACCACAGATTTTCAACCCATTCAGGATTACAACTGTACGGTTTGAGGCTTAAAATCAGTCAGTAGATTATTCCATGCAGTAGTTACAGAAAATACAAAAGCTTTCTTTCCCAAATCTGTTCTGACTTTGGGAACAACACAGTGAAGAAAAAAGGCTTTAAATAAATACAAACATTTACACAATTCAAACAAATATGTAAAATAAAACATACCATTACATAAATAAGGCCAATTTACCTTTAAGTTGTAAACACATGGTGAGTATAATACATCCACAGTATGAATGTCAGAGACCAGAGCTATCTAACAGTCGTTGAGGTTGTGCATTTACTCATCATGACTCTTTGCAGCACATTTGTGTTGTTATCAGTCTGTGTTTCTCCTATCATTTGCATTATTGCAGTCTAGTGGGCTGCCACTGTGGGCTGCGGGCAGTTTTTATTGCCACAGCTTTCCCTGACCTCATGTTACCGTTATATATAATAGTTTGCAGAGCAGACTGTAAATGATGGGAAAGAAAAACACTGGTGTTGCATCAGTATGTATGGACAGATGAGTTGAGGTTTCACAATCTTAATCTGACAAAGCTGGTTGGGTGAATCCCTTATCTATGTGTTACAATTCAACAGCATTTGTACTCATTTGGAAAACCCTCACAATTTTACTGTACTTTAACAAGTACAAATTAGAACAAATCAGTCTGCCATGTTGATTTAACTATCCCCCATGTTATTATGCCAATGAAAATAAGAGAATATTTATTAGGTAATATTAATGGACAATGTTAAGTTGCTTTGATCTATACTGTCTTTTTTATTCCGCTTTAATCATTTGTTTTATCCTTCATCTCATTTGAAATGCCCAACTAATGTCCAAATAATCTTTAGCAACACCATATGCCAACATTGGGGTAAGAAGGGGAAAATAATATTTAATATTTAATACTGAAAAGGGGTGATTCATACTAAATGTATTTTTGAAGTAGCCAAAACATGTACTGTCATGTGTCATAAGTAGAATAAGCCAATTATTTAAAAAAATATCGTTTTACACACAACACACACTAAATAACATCTAGTTAGGATTGAAGTTTTTTTCATTGAACATTTCGATTTCTTTATTATGTTATTCACTTTGGTTATTGTTAGGAATTTCGGTGCTAATTTTACATTAAACCAAAAAATTTAAAGGCAGATACAAATGAAATTAAAGAGTGGGCTATATAGGCAAAACACATAAACCAAAATTCAGGAGCTCAAAGACGAAAAGTAGTTTAGAATTCCGATCAATATGGGGTTAAATTGGATTCCTCGTTGACCTAGATAAAATAGAAAAAATATATACTCCAATTAGAGTGTAGTTTATGGGACAAACAACACCAAACCGTCCCCCCCTCTTGACTGGTCCCATCATAGAGTTTGCCTGCAGGCTGCCAGGTCAATGTCTCAGTCCGGACACTTCCAGCTCCCCCGACCCTGGACAGAGGACAGGTGGGCCTCGGGACACTGGGTGGTGGGAGGTGGGGGTGGGTGGTGATCGTGATGTTTTTTTGAAGACTGATGGATGTGTGACGTTGGCGAATTGCAGCTAAACTGTACGTGAGGAGAGACCAGCCAGGGCGCACTGGATCGAGCAGATTTGAGGAGGGAAGGCAAGTGGAGGAGGAAGGGGGTGGGGGGAGCCGACAGAGGTAGAAAAAAAATCACCGACAGGGAGTCGGATGGACTCAAGGGGACAGAGAGCAGGAGAGCGGCTTTAGGCACATCAAGGGTCCCATCAAGTGGTCTGGTGTCTGCACCAAATCAGCTTCAGGGATGTAGTCGAAGCGGCTTAGAGCTCAGCCCATCCGAGCTCATCATCATGAAGAAACACTCCGCCAGGGTCGCCCCGCTGTCTGCCTGCAACAGTCCGGTGCTCACCCTCACCAAAGTGGAAGGTAGGGGGAGTTCATATCCATTTAGACCGCCTGATACTCCGCAAACTGGGGCTGGTGTGTGTGTTATGGGCACATGTATATATGACTCTGCTGATCTGATAGAGAGAGGGATTCACGTTTCTTAATTAGGACATGGGTCAACTTTAGGACATCTTATTTTGAGCAAGATAAAACGAAACTGGAACCAATCAAGCGCGCAATTACCGTAACATTTAGATGCATCTTTTGCGGAAACTGTTTTACCATTGGACAGCTTCCTCGTCAATGTTTGCATTTAAGTAACCAAATGCACTCGGAATTTAATCTCGTTATTTATTCATGATTTCTTCATCGCGTGATGTTGCTGGAAAGATACAAAATGAAGCCTATTATAGAAGTGCATTGTCCATATTTTTATTATTGACCGCATTATGTGTGTATTGGTGGGGCGGGTGCGGGGGGGGTGTGTGGTGGTGGCTGCTGCTGGTGAAGTAAGTTTGCTTGAATGAACGCTGCTACATTTACAGGTCCATAGGGAGGATGTGAAGTTGTTATTGCAGCAGGGATTCCCCCACACACTCTCCACCCTCCACCCATCACATAACAGCTAAGATACCAGAGCATCACACCAGAACAGCTAGGACGTGAACCCATTCATCAAACAGTTTAAAAGGGGAGTGATTAGTAAAATATACATAAATAAAAAGAAAGAACGCTAACTAGGTAACATAAGATAAGAATAAAGAAGTTTAAATGATTTGTTATTGGTTGTGATCATATTCTAAAGATGTTTGGATTATTAAAAAGTCAGCTCCCTTTCATATGAGTGTTGAGAGTTGTATCTATAAATTCATTTTGTGCTCAAAGTGCACCAGATTGATACATTTAACTTCAACATTTAAAAAAAAAAAAATCTTCCAGGGGGTGCATGCCCCCGGACCCCCCTAGAGGATGTGAGGTCCACCCCAAAATAAAGCAGGTTAAAATAATTAAATTGGATACATCTTATTTTAGTAAATACTGAAAACGGGTCCCACAGACCCAAACAGCACACAAAGGTTAAAGGTAAGCATATAATAATGTTAAAATGTGCAAAAGTAGCTCACAACAATTTTAAGCTTGGCCTACCATTTTATTGGAGCGATGAGGAACAGTTGGGGCTTGAAAAGGCCCACCTTTTCAAAATGGGGAATGACAGGAAAAGTTTGAGAACCACTGCGTTAAGCGGTCTCCGCGACCACACTTCAGCCCACTGATCTCTGACCTTGTCAGGTATTGAGCATTCAATAAAATGAAGAACACAGAATTACTCAATATAAAACATAGAATTTGTGTGATTATACAAAATGATTTACAAATAAACCCCACTGCATATTTACAACTGTTACATGTAGATGAAAGTTGGTCTCCCCGCAGTCTCAGTCTCTAAGGAGCACCAATAAGACATCTCCTGTTGCCATTATTAGGGACAACTCCTCTCTGAATCCCATGTGTGTCATCACCATGCTGTCATCTTCAACATGGTGTGTCATTGCTCCCTTTACTACAATGTTCTCCTTGGTCTCATTCCTGTGTGAATGAGTGGTGTTATGCATTCTTTAATCCCCCCCTCAGCAGAGAGGAGTACTGCATTTCTCAGCGTTTGGCATATCGCAAAGGCTGCTAGCACATTGCCATCTCGCAGGCAACCTAAAAAGAAGAATTAGGATTAATCTGAATTGCAAACTTCCTGGAATACATTTATTAATTTGCATGATGAAGTGATATGTACACATGCCGTGATGCATGAAAACAGTCCTAAGTGAGTATGATGACTTACAGATTGAATTGCTGTTTGTTCATTTTATGTTGTGCTGCTGGCAGCTTTCCTTTGTGCAGTGCAGTAAGATAATGCTTAATATATGTAATAGACACCACAGCAGGTGCTGGTAATATGCTAAATTGTCAGTGTCACCTCTTAAGGAATTGTGTTAAGTTGTATTTTATTGTGAATTCAGTCAAATATATACCTGTGAAATAGTTTGAAGCTTTATACCTCCATTATTTTTGCAGTTCCCAGCTTTATTAGTGAAAATGTATGAAAATACTTTGTTATTCATAATTTATGGCTTGACCAGCTGCTTGAATATAAATCAGGGATTTCCCTGCAGTCTGCTATGGACACCGCAGAACTTAAACCCAGATGCTGTAGCTGTATATACTGTGTTGCATAATTATTCACTCACTGCAAGGCATTCTGGATAACCTCAGAAGAATCACTGCTGCTGGATAAGCAACGATTTAAAGCTTATTTCGGTGAATGACAGCTCAAAATATAATATTTTCCGAAGAGTTGAGATGGCGTGCTGTTATATGACAAGCTTGGTTATACGGAATTAACAAAAGCAGTGCTGTGGAAAGAGAAGGGATTGTAAATGTGTGTGATGGGGGTAATAAAGTTGTGTAAACTGTTGAAGAGAGTGAAAGCTGTAGAGTTTATGAAGTGAATGTTCGGCTCCCCATTTCAGCAGCTGTTTGAAGGAGGAGGGAGTCGCAGGGGGCTACAGCGGATCAACACACAGCTTTTCAGACACTCCGCTGCTTATGTAACCCCAGCTCCAACATCTCTGTTCTCTTCACTAACAACCTGCTCCAGACTGTCAAAGATATATTTCTTTCGGTGTGGGATCTCTTTTTTGTTTTCTTTCTTTTTGTGTCCAGTTAACAGCCACAGCGCGTATTCGTGTTTAAACAGCATCAAGACAGAGAAAATGTTATGACAATAGAATCAATGTTCAAATCATTTGATCGTTGATTCTAGCTTTTCTACATTAAGCCATTCAGTCCTGTTTTATATTTTAGGGACAGGAGGAACTGCCACCCATATTCTGTTAAAATCCTTGAGGCTAGTAACCCAACCGTCTATTCTCAAGCATAATCCAATGTTATTTTAATGACTTTGTTTTGTCCATTTCTGGGTCTACTGCTGCCTCCTACAGCCATAAGTGTGATCCACTGTCTTCATCTGCACTATTTACCTCTTGCTTTTGATTAATTCCCCTAACCATCGGCTCCTGGATGATGATTATTGATTTCTCTTCAAATGTGTTTCTAGCGATCATCTCTTTGAGGAATGTCCGTGTTGTGTCGTCAAAGGCAGGGGTTAAAAGTTCATAAAAATCTCTTTAATCTCAGTAATTTCATTACACACTTGGAAACAGAACAGGCGTCTTTTAAAAGTGATTCATTCGTCCAAGAGGAAGCCGGTCATATTTCATCAGCTGCTATAATGACTTCACAGACCCTTTCTCCAGGGCTCCATCTACCCTGAACACGAGAACTATATCTCAATATAGCAAATCATAACTTTTAACATGCAGAAGTAGAGGTGTAAATGTACAGAGAATTAACCCATTTAACGCAGTATGAGATCTTCAGGGTTTCTTGGTGAGATGGATTGTCATTGTATTGTGCACACTCTACAGTTTGCTTTATTAGAAGCTGCGACAGAGTGTAATACTGTAGGTGTTGTTTTCACCTTGGGAGTCTGTGTCTGCGTCATCGTTGAAAAATGTGCTCCTGGAGATAACTGCTTTGGCAGGATTTACTAAGGGATGCGTTTTTTTTAAAAGTAATTTGCCAGGTGTTTAGCCTGTGGACATTGTAAGATGCAGCTATACAACTTTACAGGTGTGTGGATGAGACAAGAATGAAGATGGAACATTGGTGTGATACGAGCCAGAATCGCTTGATTTGGCGTCATGGTTGGCGTGATTCCATCGCACTAGTCTCTCGTTCTGTCTGCTTGAAGGTTTTATAAAGACGTGTCGAGAAAATGTACTCAGAATAATAGCTCCATGTGAGTATTTTGCATAAAGTAATGGATTTAAGGGTTGGTTGATTTGTCCTGTCCGCCCTACTCTTTGTGCACCATGCATGAGTCATCTTAATCTTAATAAAATATGTGCATTTTGCAAAAAAAGCACAAAGAAATAACGTGACATGTTTCCTTCAAGCACGCTCAAAAAGAACATAAATAGAATCCTGCATCTATTACTCGTTTGCATGTGTCGTGTTTGCATGTCAGTGTACATTCAGGCATGTGTAAATAAAAGGTGTGTTGAGATGAAGCTACACCTGTCAAAACAAAGGTCTAACATACCTGCATTTTGAATCTGCGGCCTCTGTGTAGTTAAAAGATCATCAGAAGCAGCTATCATGTTCAAGCTTTCCTCTGCAAGCCCCATTCAAATGTTACGTCTCCCTTTGATCCTTTGAATGTAATTGGAGTTGACTTTGAAGGTAGTCAGAGGAGAAGCCTAATGCTTTTAAATTCATTTAAAAAGCGAGGGAAACAGGCCTTTCTCGCTTGATAAGTGTGCAATGAATACACAATGACAGGGCCTTTTATTGTATTACCAGGCCAAGCTTGTGCTCCGGTTTATGTAATGCAGAGTGTGTATGTGTGCAGAGAAAGCCATCAGTTTAATTGTAATGAATGATATTTCACTGAATAGATGGTTTGATGTTATAGCCAAATTGATTAATTTATAGAAGTTCATTTGAGGTTTGCTGCCACAACTTAATTGCTGCAAATCTCATTTGTATTCTGTATAAGAAAATGCCTTCTGTATCATAGTGTTTCATCTTTTAGCAAAATCCTCTACATAAATGTGTAAAGAGGAAGCTCGATGCTATAATCCTGAAGGGAGTTGATCCGAATAGCTTTCTTTAGGGTGTGAGGCTGCTGCCTATCCGCTCTAAATGTCTTATTCAGCCAGTAAACCAGATGGTATTTGCTGTGTACCTAGAAGCCTAATTATTAAAAAGCTAAAGTAAAACAATAATACTACTACTCCCCTACAGCGGTTGTAGTTAGTGTGGCTTGCCCGGGAACCCTGTCAGCAAAAATGCATGTAGTGTGCTTCAGTGCATTTCACCTCTGAAAATTACTTGTTTTTTTCTCTTGATGCCATTAAAAAAACTAACCAGTCATCAAACTGTGAGGGTCATTTTACAGGAGTGATGTCATGGAAATGTGG